TTTTCGTATTGACCAAAATGCACTTCGGTATAATCCAGGTGTAGTAAGTTTTCAATATACGTGGGTTACAATTGCAAATGTATCGCTATGATTGTCAAGTTAGATAGGAATGTTTATCACAAAATATAAATATGCGTCGGTAGCACAGTTGTTGGGACTCTCTCCAACCATGCACATGGGCCGGGGTTCAATCCCCTGCCGACGCATGCCTGACATCTATGGTTGGCCTGCAAAATCTGGGCTACCAATATTATATGCTGAAAATTCCATATTTATACTAAAAGCGCTGTGTGGTTTCAAGCTATAACCAAAAATTAAATTAAAAAAATTTATTAACTAATAAGCATGAGGCCCTATGTTCCATTGAGAACATGAAGGAGAGAAAAATTCACTAATAAGGAAAATCCTGAATAGGTTTGAAAACCATTTTAATCAACCAAGAAATGTAGTTTCTCAAAGACTTCACTTTTAAAGTGTACATTTGTGCTTATACTGTGAAAAAGGCATTGAGTGACACTAAAAACTGCTCAGTTAGTATTGCATATGATAAGGATAAAGCTAATTAACCCGGTTTTAATGGAAAAAGGGTACGAGTGAGGGAATCACTAAACTTCTGAAAGATTAATAAATAAGTGGATTGGCATTTAGAGGTTCAAAATTACTTAAGTGTTGTAAAAATAATTGAAATTGCGAGGATGATAGCGATAAAAGGTGATGATAAATTAAAATGGAATGAACTCAGACAAAAAATGAATCCAAAAAAGAACATTACTATGAGCAGAGTAAAGAAAGAGGCTTGATAAAACTTTTTTGTTACTGTTTAACTAGTGCTTCGGTTATACATAGGCGGTGAAAACGTAAACTTTTGAAACTGGCTGAATTTATCCCTGTAGATAACTTTAAAAGATAAGCTGTGTAGGGCCTACTGAAGAAGCTGATAAAAGATAGAAGACTGTATCATCACTTCTGGAGAACGCGCCTGAAACGTCTAATTTAATCAGCTCCAAAAGGAGGATGTGATGTGTCAGTGATCCAGTGTTAGGATGATTGCGTACCACTCAAGTGGTCCGGGTTCGATTCTCAGGCGGCACACTCCTAAATCTCGCCTAGCCGGCAGTAAACACAGCAAAAGGGAGAAGGTTGAAAATGAGGCTAGCAACTCGATCCCATAAAAAATAACATTATCGCCACTGAAACCTCATAGCTGAAGCATAAAGCCCCATACTCCACTCAAGACACCAACGAATGAAGAAAAGCATAATGTGAGGGAGTAAAAACATATAAAGGCGGATGTAATAAGTAGTTCATTCTCCACGCATTATCGAAATCTACTGAGTCGAAAATGCCAGGTGTAAACCAGAAGCATAAAACAGAATTTCACATTTTTTTTCGTTTTCGGAAAGAAAAGTGACCAAATGACGGATAAAATTATTTACATGCACTCTGAATTAACTCGTTTTGATTGATAAACTTCAATATTCTAATTCTAACTTTTACTTTTTATAATTTTTCCATTAAAAGTGTTTCTTTACTTATTATGCAAATTTATTGTTTGATTAGTGTTAAATACCAAGAGAATTTTCAATATGTGACAATAAAAATAATTAAAAATCAACCTTCATAATATAAAAAGAAATGACTTAGTAGAAAAAACCTATTAAATGTTTATCACAGTCTGCATTGTATTTCTTTATCAAATATACAACCCATTAGCATATTTTATTGTAAGATTATAAGTGCGAAACAGATACTTTTCAAAATGAAATATCTAATTATGGAGCGAATCTATAGTATAAAGACGAATTTAAAGAATTAAACATTGAAGTATGAAAAATTTGGCTTCCAGTCCTTGAAAATAGGTGATTGATGTTCATTTTTCATACTTTGAAATGTATGTGTTAATCTTTACGAGGAAATTATTGATGACCTTAGTCTTTTCAGTTTGATGATTGAAAAAGTGTAAAAAGAGTTTCTCTATTTAGTTTTGAGCTAACTATATGAAAGTTTCAGATCTGTTCTTGGTAATAATAAAAGTAGTGGTCTTAACTTTCACAGACATGAATGACGTTTAATGATTCAACTAACTACAATGAATTATACATCGGCGATCCTTCAGGTTCTAGGAAAGTCAGGTTAGGTAGCCAGGATGTTACCATATAGTAATATGATCATTACTGTACACATTCTTCTCATTCACAGGCTCCTGAAAACCTCGGCATTAAAACGAAATATTTATCTTGTAGTGGTTATTTACACAGTATCAATTTACGGTGTAAAGTATCTTATGATCTGTTGATTCCCCAAAGAAGTATCAGTCGAGACAAAATAAGAAACAGATTTCTTGGAACTCCAATGTGAAGAAGTCATGACTGGTTTCCATCGATCAAGTTGGTTGTGGTTCTGTATATAGACAACTGACTGAAGTTAGAACTTGAGTTGTTGAATTTCAACCCACTGGGTGAATGGTTACCTGTTCTCTCGGTAATCCAATTACCTCAGGTTAACGCCTTAGAGTCTGAAACTAGGACGAACCAGCTGTCTGGTTCATTAACTAAAATCTGCCTTGTAGCCGATAAAATTACTACGAAACATTACTTGGGAATAAAAAATAGATAAATAAACTGTCAAGTACCTGTTGTAATGCTGTTACCTTTTCTTGTTAATTACCTACTTTTTCTACTAAACTGTTGATTTATATAAAGTTTTAGCGGACATTGGGTCAGGTTGGAAAAGAGCTAGTGGTGGTCAAACCAAAACATGGCACCAGTCAATGAAATTCACAACATAGGAAGGTGTAGACTCCCTGTTTGGGATCCTCAGGACAGTAAAAGCCAATAGCTTGATACAATTGGTGATATGGCTCAAAATCGTTCTCGATGATGGCGCAGATGCATCTACTCCCTGTGACTTATGATTTCCAATGAAACTATATTGTTCTTCATTATTACTATTCCTTTTGTCCCATATCCCTGTCTACTGTCTCTATTATGCATTTCTTCTACTTTCTTCTCTTGCTTTGTGTGCTACATGGAGTGTGGCGACTTGAAGTGTTGTACATCGGTGCAAAGTTCTGTGTCGAAAACAGACAAGCAAACAGAAAGTGTTATGCATTGTGTGTAAAAATTAAATTCTTCAATATTTCTAACAGTCCTGTAGCCAAAACGAAAAAACAGTTAGGAAAATATATGACCATAGTTTTAGGAATCATACAAGACATTAATAAGTCCAGAGAAACTTTGCCTCCCAAAAATGGATGTATTACTCTGTACACATGTTCAGTTTTCAATGGTTAACACTAGACAACTTATTAACGCTATGCAAAAAAGTGAATGTGTCTGGATAAATAAAGCAAAACAAAAAAAAGAAAAGAAAAAGAAAGAAGGAAAGAAGAAATTAACAAGTGTTCTAAAAAAAGATTGAAGAAGAAAAAATAATGCAACAAATGCTCATTTATTTTTATCAAACGCACCTGAATTACATCATCTGACATTTTGTCACCCTCCACGTTGACCTTATTATAAGTCATATATTTATTCATTTCGGTATTTCTGAAGGTCATACAAAACGACAGATGGAACACATCTGGAGCTGAAACACTTGAACATTAGACTTAGTTTATGCATGAAATTTTTAGTAGAAATGCGTATTGATAACGTGTTCACCCTTTTTTTTTTATTTCTTTGTATGTTGTATGCATTCAGTTTGTCATGTGTATGTATGCTTATTTAGTTTTTGTCTAGATATAAGGGATTTTATGTCAATATATAGTTTCAGAAATATTTTTCATGCAACCATGTAAAAGACTGTCTGAAAATAAAGAAAAGAGAATTAGAGATAAGTGAATAATTAATTGGTGTATAGGACATTTGCCTTTTCGCATTCTTTCGCCGTGATAATCAATATCTGCAGAGTTTATATTCTATAGTTAAACTGACGAATACTTTCGATATCTTTTTATAATGTAATATATTTAAATAAATTGAAGAAAGATCGAATTCGAGAAAAGAATAATGACGTTTGTTTTATCTATTACAGAGTCGAACAGAAATAGCGGTTTCTCTCTCTACCACATGCAGCGGATAATTACACATGGATACAATGAGGTTTGGGGTTCGATTCCAGGTTGGCCGACATCTTTACTTCCTAGAACCGGTTGTAAGACAGACAAAGATAGCGAAAGTTGGGTTTAAGGTTAGCAACCCCAGCCTGATTGCTACTGAAACTTTGAAGCTCAAGCTTGACGCTCTGTATTCTATTCGGAAAGCAAAAGAATAAAAGACGTTGAATGTTGGAAATGAATACTGTTCTGTTTTCATCTGTGCTTTCGTCAATTGAATAATCTGAACTTTTAGTTTGTTGATACTAACTTTAATTAATTTAGGCACGACTACACATGTCTGATATATTGTTATGAGTAAGAAACTACTAAGTCAGGCTGATTGTAGACTTCGTTTTTCATATGTGAAGAAAGTCACTAATATTAAGAAGTTATTGAATCTAAGTTATTTCGGTCAAATTTAAAATTGTTTATAAGTCGGACTGTGACCAATCTAGCTATGCACTTGTTAGTATTATTTATTCCTTTACTTCCTTAGTGCAGCATAGGGTTTCAAGCTAGAGCCATGAAGTTTCGGTAGTAGTGGTTTAATTTTATGGGGTAGGATTACTAGCCTCACACCGAACTCTCCCTCTTTAGTGGCCTACAGAGGTTTAGGAGTGCGTCGGTTGCCCGGAATCGAACCCCAGACCATGTGTGCAGTTGGCGAGCATCCTATCAGTGAACCACCGACGCGGTTATGCACCTACGTGGCTTTAATAAAATTCTATGCCAAATGAATGAATAAGTGTTACATCCGATGAACGGTGTATATTGTCTTATATTGGTGTCGTTTAAATGAATGTTTTAGTCTTGTAATTTTGTGATTATTTGAATCTCTAACTACATACTAGTCTATAACTTTTGTTGATCAAAATTATATCTACTTTTTTCTTATTTGTAGAAGTGGATTGTAGAGTCAGTGAATGGGGTCCATGGACAAGCTGTGATTATGCCTGTGGTCAAAGTACCAGTACTCGTTATAGACAAATAGAAATTAAACCACAAAATGATGGTAAACCATGTCCTGAGCTGAATGAAACTAAACCGTGTATGGGAGATAATTGTGCAAGATTTGGAAGATCTGGAACGTTGATGGTACCTTATGTTTATAATATTAAAGGTAAGTGAAAACATTTTGTAAAATGATAAATTATGCCTATGTTAAAGAAAATAAAATTCTAACGATGAGTCATTTGAATAAAAATGAGTAATTAGTACGCTGGTAGCTTCTCATGGGACTACTTAAATTAGAGAAGAATATAGTTCCGAAAGCATAAAATTCTTTGTGTTCCATCATGTACTTTTCCAAAAATTTATAACATCTTATGTTAGACCAGATGTATTTCCCTTAAGACCAATTCACTAAACAAAAATGAAAATGAATGATTTGTATTCAGTGTATCAGGAAGACTTTAAAATTATATTTACTAAGATGACTAATTTAGATACCGTTGATATACTCTAACCTGAAGAAGTAAAGAATATTGTTTGGTTGATGGACAGTGAATAGCAGTGGAATCCAGGATGCGCATTTCGTCCTGTTTGGGACTCGTCATTCTCCACCGAGACTCGAATCCAAACTGTTGCCTACTATATACCACAAAATCTTCAATTCAGTTAATTCTGAATGTTTAAAATGATTAAACGTCCTCATATTAACTTTTAATTAGTAGTACAAGCAAACTATAGCGATGGGAAATTGCTTTGTAGAAAAAAAAGTGAATTTGTTATGAATTGGGACATGATATCAGGTAAACTTGTAAATGTTCTTAAAAGTAAATCATAAAATGTAAGTGGATTGTTTGTACTTCCTATAAAAGTATATCTGTAATCATTTGTGTAAGTGTAATTATAAAATCATATGAGATCTTTTAAAATCGAAATTTCCTTGTTTTAATTACTGTAATTCTAAATGTTCAATAAGATGGGTTTTTTAAATACTAGATTAGAAGAAATTAACTTCCCCTAACCGGTTTCTAGTGTAACTACAATTATTTTACAGTGACTATCACATTTCTTTATTTAAGTAGTATATATATGTATATCATTTGTAGTGAAGTATCTACATCTCTTATGAATTACTGTAATTATGTCTCTCTGGGATCTTCATTTCTCTCCTAAAACGTCTTTTTACTTAGATATGCTTAGTTCGCCTTCACGTTACTTCCTTTTTTTTTAAACCAGTTTTCTTTTGAAATACAGTGTATGCGTGCTCCTTACAAAACACTCTAGAATAAACTATATCATAAGTACAGCATTTTATTATAGATGAAATTACTGACGATATCAGTAAAGTCTGATTCTCTTGTGATAAAAAGTATTTCTATGCATTTCTTTTTCAAAATAGAATCATTTCAAAGTTATAATTAAAGGAATTCTCCGATCAAATAGAGTTTTTAAAGTGAAAACTTAGAATTATGCACATAGTTTATAAAAGAGTGGTAACTAGTCGCTTAACAGAACCGTTAACACTGAACAAAATCAGTCGTTTGCAAGAAATGAGCTAAAAATAGAGATATCAGCTGAAATTTGCATTAAATTCAAATTTAGATTTTCCTGTCGATTTATTGGACCGAAGTGCTCAGTCTCAGGTTGACATGTGGGATTCTTGTGCAGATGCTTTGACCATGTCTGGGCGTGTAATTAGAATTTAATTGGTGGATGGTGACTAGCAGTGGAATCCAGAATGCGCATTTCGTCCTATTTGAGACTTGTCAGCTGGATGTGCCTGCACTCCACAGTGAGTGATAACAGTGTTTGAAACTATGGGCACTGGATTCGAGCATTGGTGGAAACATCATCACTCACTGGGGAATGCAGGTACATCCAGACGACAAGTCTCAGATAGGACGAGATAAGAATCATGGATTTCAGTACTAGTCAGTATCCACCAATTAAATTTTAAAACTTGCATGCTTATGGACCGTACATTCTTTTAATTAGATTCTTACAAAGATTATAGTACTCTGTGTCTACTAAACCCTAATCTATTGAACAAGATTCGAACAAGTGACCTACCTACTTAAGTTCCAAACATCCATGAAAATTAATAGATATGAATGTCACTACTTCAGTCGTTTACTTCACCCGCAAATTTCTTCGCTTTATGAGTTAATGAGTTTTCTGTCAGTGAAACAATGATAGGACCCATCCTTAGTTGGTGTAAATACTTTGCATTTGACAAAGTAATATAGTTATTTATATTGGTGGTATTGAATAGTGTACAGTGCATCGGTGGCACAGAGGTAGAGTGCTCACCAACCCCTTATGTCACCCGGAGTTTGATCCCCGGTCGCCGACACACTCTTTTACCTTGTTAAGCCAGTAATAAGACTGGTAAAGAGGGAAGATTGGGCATGCGGCTAGTAACCCCATCCTATAAAAAATAATCACCACTGCTACCGAAGCTTCAAGCTGAAGGCTTGAAGCCCTATGTTAAACTGGGAATGTAAAAGAACAAAAAAATAGTGTGCAACTGAGTCAATAGCAAACTGAGTCAAACCTAATTTTGCTTTAGTTGAGTAACAATTAAGAATAAGATTGTCACTCGCAGTGAATATGACGCCGAAATAAAGTAAGTGAAATTTCAGTGTTCTAAAAGCTTCTAAAATTTGAACAACGACATATTGCATAACAGTGACCAGAATTTCCCTCCTGGAGGAGTGGAACTATATATATACTTTAGTTCGAGATATTTCCTTTATAATATGCATCTGAGACGCTGTCAAGATCACAATGAAACAAATGACATAGATCGACTTAGGAAGAAAGCCATTTGTGTAATTCTTACAGCTACTTAACTTATTATATTATGTTATTAATAGGAAGATATTTATGAACATTTCTCAGTCAATGTACTTACCAACAGTTATATTTTGTCTTCAGGTTCTTACAATTACAAAATATAACATTTGTTGTCGTTACAATAAAGGCCAGTTATACGGCGGCGGATACATTTTTAACGTAGAATAACAGATTAGTTATGGGGTGTCAAAATAAATAGTCCTATTTCTGTGACAAACGTGCTGGGCTAAAATCGATTACAAAATATTGTAAAACGGGAGACAATGGTGGTGATTAATCATAATAGATTTATAGAGTGTGAGGTAGGAAAATTGACAAGTCAGTCAGTTCAAGGTTATAAAAGGTGTAAGGTGAGTGGAGTGGCTAGTACAAAGTGGTCTGAGTTAAACAGGAGATAGTAAGACTACAGTGAGAGGTTCATAATGAAATAACGAATATGTGAAATGAAACAGGTGGAGGCATATATTGAGAAAAGAGATAACATCACTAATAAAATAAGTCCGGATTGTATTAATGAAAAACTCGATAGTGTTGAGGGAATGTTCGCATAAAGGGCAAAAATTATGACGAATAATAACAACTGTAATGATAATATTTGTAATAATAAGCAAAGGAAACAAAACCAAGAGGGTTAAGGGGAAGGAGCACTCTTGGTGAGAAGAGGAATCATCAATCCAAGTTTGGCCACGGTAAGAACAGTGTCTGGACGTGTTCCTTTTGTATGCAAAGTTCTGGTTTAATCGATCTTATTGCAACAGCTTCAGCTATGTGTAGTAGACTTAAGCGAACGGTATGGGATACTGACTTCGGAATTCGGTATATAATACTGAAAGCTGTTTTGACATCGATACGATGTCCAGTATCGACCAAGTGTGACCGAATCAAGCTTTTTACGCATTTAATTTTCCCCCTCCTGCTGAACCAAGCTGGTAAATGTTCTCGAACCTGTAGACGAACCTAGTTCATAGTCAAATTTATAATTTTTGATCTTTTTACTCAACACTTTGAAAACACTCAGAGAATGATATGTCTCTACAGAATAGTCATACTGACTTAAAAACGTTTTTCTCGATAATCCATTCAGCTGTGCTGAAATGGACTACACTACACTTAGTATAGATGAACCAATTGTTTAGCAAAATACTTCTTTGTTAATGATATTCATTCGCTTACTCTCTTCCCTTATATATGACAGGCTATGGATATTCTTTATTCAAAATACGCCTAATTTTCGTATCGTTAGTAACACAGTTTAAATGTTGTTGTTGCACACAAGGTCATGCAGTACGTGATTCACATTCAAATACCAAACACCTTATTTATCATATTTGACCTTTATCCATTCATGATGCTTGTGTAGTAAGCTGAAAAAATGCCTTATTTTTACATTGGTAAAAAGAAAACATAAATAGCTAATGCATGCTGTTATTTCTATTCTGTTGCCTTATCAAGAAGTATATTTTTTTTGCTTTCAAAAAACGATCTACTTATGAGTAGATTCTTCACTTGCCTTACAGACAAAACTACAAAATAAATTTCATGTAGTCATGCTAAAGGATTTTAATGAATATAACTTCTTTTGAAATCCTATATGACTTCAATGTATTGAATAGACTGATAGACGCACATAGCCGTACACTGGTTTACATGAAAGACCAGGGTGTATATATGTGGCAACAATTAGCAGTCTATTTTATAGTCTCAGAGTGTACATATACGTCGGCCTTTTATTTTTCGCCTTTTTTATGTGTATGTATGAATCAGCAACTAGTAACAATGACGATAATGACGATGAGGGGGGGTGGCGAGGTGTTATGAAGCCGGTGGAAGTGTTTACAGTTTTATTGTTCCAATAGACAAAATATTAGCCTTGTCAAATATTTATAAACGGTAAAAATTAGAAAACAACAAAGGAGTCAAAATAAAGTAAATATAAACTGCAAAGAAGGAAACAAACAATAAACAAATTGTTTAGGTAATTGGCATAGGACAGAGGCCATGCTTGTTTACTGTCTATCTATTATTGTGACAGCAGAACGGTGGACAGAATGTATATTGTCACTAGCAACAGTAACATTTTTATCCATCACTCCTAAAAAGAAGAGAAATTTACAGCTTGCCACTATAGGATTCCCTATCAGTTTTTATGAATATATGTGCACCAATATATGTAGTGTGCTATTTTTACTGATGCCACTAAACTTTGGAATGACTCTTAAAAAGACAAGAATAATTCTGTTGTCTGGATGAGTACTGGAAGCTAAAGTAATCACTTTTATAATTTCACCTAAAGAATATATTGATTTTACTTCTTCCTAAAGTGATCTAAAGATAATTCCTGATTTATAGAAAATTCAGAATATGGTTGGTGAAGCTTAGGTAATAATAGTAACAATAATAAAAGAAGAGGAACGTAATTTGTTAGCACTCAGTGTTCTTAGTTCCAATATAGTGTTAATATGTGCAAGCAACGCTTGTTGTTGTACATCGGTGGCACAGCGATAGATTACTCGCCAACCACGCATGTCGTCCAGGGTTCGATCCCTGGCTGACGTACTCATTTACCTCGCTAAGCCAGTAATAAGATCAGTAAAGCGGGAAGGTTGGGTATGACGCTAGCAACCCCATCCCGCAAAAATAAACACCACTGCTACCGAAACTTCAAAGCTTTTGCCTGAAGCCCTATGTTCCACTGGGGACGTAAAGGAATTAAAAAAGATCACTTATTGATACTATGTCCCAGTTTCACTTTACTATAGATTGATAAAGGTTGCAAATTGTTAGCTATAATAGAATATTAACTTGCACATCGCATGACATAAAGCTATTGAAATCCATACCTAATCAGTTGTAGGTGCAGTCTATTTTAGAATCCTGAATTACTGAGAAACAGTTTTTTTATTCTGATTCATGGAAAACAGAACACACTTCAAGCTTATCATTGCTTAGACGTGATATTTTAATACCTACCAGCATAAAGTAGTCCACTTTCGGGTATGTTCTCTTCCCGTATTGTTCTAACTGTACATCTCTGGAGAATAAATCCGAAATGTTAAGAAAAACATGATGAACAATAACTTGATTCAATTGATATCAAGTTACTGGATCAGATCACGAAAGTGATGATGAGAGATTACTTAATAAATATTGATTTCGCGATAAGATTTAACATTCTAATGACCTGACTATTTTACAGCTGGAAGAAATATATCATTAGTCTGTTGTGATAATATCTATACATTCTGATAAAGACTGAACGCATAACTTCATTCTGTTGATTTTAAAGGGCGATGTCATTTTACTATAGTAAAACTGGAAAGGTAAATAACATGAGATAAAAATAATTTTTAGTTACAGTTGCATTAGATTCAAGTATTGAGTAGGAAACTAAATGACTAATCTCAGGGAATTACAAGAGATAAACTTAGGGGCGATTACCTAAAAGATCAATTACTTCAGTACAATGAAATAATCATTCACATTAAAAAAAAAGTTTTCTTAATCATGTGAAATTAAAATACGATCAGTAAACGAGAGATGTCATATGTTTAGTGAACTCAGAGTGTTATACTAGCCACACCAATACACAGGAACACACACATAAATGAAGAATTACAAAGACTAATGTATATTTAATCCAGTTAATGAGTATTAGTTAATGTATGTAATGTAATGTATGTATGTAATTAATGAAATGTAATGATGACAGGGAATTCGTTCTTTTCATCACAAATCAGTAAAGACACTTAGATAGGAGAGCTAGATGGCTATAACAAGCTGACACATTTGTATCGAAACACTAGTTCCTGCAGACCAATAACAGCAAGCACAAAACTAAATCTTTGGTGTTTTTCTAAGATGCATCAGAGGAAACTGTCCATTACCCCCAGATAAAGTGAAGGAAACATTTTAAGCCTGTTGAACAATGAAAACAATTCAGACTGTTGGAAATGCTCTGTGGAGTATAAAAATCAACTTTTGAATGAGATTTAGCTTTGTAGCTAGACTGTGAGGTGATGAGATGTGAAACGGAGACTGATGTAGTCTGTACTTGTATGGTTTATCTATCGTTTATTCAACATAAGCACGAATAACAATGTAGTTTTGATCGGCTTTTCAAAAAGCAAACCTAACTCATTTTAGGGTTTTTGATAAGATACTTTTTAGATGAATAGGCCTAATAGTCAGGCATCCATGTGTAAGGAATTTGATATACATCAAATATAAGCTGACAATAAGCCAATTAATGGTTTGTAACTCAAAAGAACACAGCTCAAATTGTATCACATTAAAAAAATATTCCCTAAAACAAACTAAATTGAATTTGGTGCATTTTTTTATTAAACACCTGTATGAATATTTTTGGATTATTAAAACAAGTTATAAAAGTACAAAAGGTTAGCTAATCATGAGAAATTGTTTTATGCAAGAAAACTGATCATCAGATAAGATAAATGCTACCAACAATAAAAGTAATAAACCAAATGACCAGGAAAAAGTGCAGATAGAAGAAAGTTCGAACTTTTTGCATCGATTTGCATATTTACCGAGAAATTTTAATTGATCACACCGCCAATTTCGTCTTTCAACCGAATTTTCTTCCAGTGCTTAATGGTTATACAAAGATCGTGCTTTAGTAGAGCGTCGGTGGCACAGTGGTTAGGACTCTCGCCGACCATGCACATGGTCCGAGGTTCGATCCCCTGCCGACGCACACCTGATATCTATGGTCGGCGTGCGAAATTTGGGCTACCGATATCCATGCTGAAAATTCCATACTTGTAGCAAAAATACAAGCTGTAATCAAAAATAAAAAATAAATAAAAATAATTATAACGGTTTTAAAAGATTCTGAAATTATTTCACCCAACCACTCGCAACCAGAAGGTCCCGGGTTCGAACCGTGGTGGTGGTTGCGTACTGATGAAGAGTTACAAACTAGGCCGATGGAACAGCTGTCCAATACTCCAAGGTTTTCCAGTGGTTTTCTAACTAATATCAGCTCATAATGAAATGCTCTACCTTGTTTATTTGTTCAAAATATCAGCATCAAAATCATCATCGGTGTTGACTTCAGTTGAACTTTCCATTTCTGGATCAGACTGTTCAATAACACACTGAGGTTTGTTAGCATTAAGGAGAACTCTATTTACACCTCCAATCTTTCAGTGAAATCATATACTCAGTTTATCTAACTGGTCGACCACTTATCACTCTACAGTGGAACAATACAAATGAACTTTATCATTTACACCACGCTGAGGCCAAACTATTCAGGATAATTAATGAATAAGGTCAAGTTATAAGTCTACTAGTGGTACAGGTTTTCTTTAATTATTCAATTGCATCAAAATAATAAGTGGAAATCCCATATTTCATATAAAACATGCAAACAAACAAGTGTAAGTGTATGATACTAAAGCTTTCTTCAAATCCAAAGATTTTGCCAAGTGTTTCTGGTTAGTTTGGTGACTAGCACACACATTGAAAGCTCAAGTTTTACTTGTCATTCGTTTTTGTTAAAAACTTATCATATTTCATTTAATTATTTTAACTGCTTTCTTATTTTTATTCTCGTGACTTGTTAATAGCTGAGGTAGCCCACTTATTGCCTGTACGTGGAGATGTATCGGATATGACTAAACGTTATGATATGCGTTTCGATGTGCGACGTAAACTTTATCTGGGCAGATTAATAAAAATGAATAAAACTGAACAACCAGAACCTGATCCGTAAGTTGATTAGATAACTTTTTTTCAAGTACAATTTGGTTAATAAATTTCTTCAGTAATCAATGACCCTATTATCACATTTTTATTTAAATCCGTTTTGTTTTACTGTAAAGAATTCACGTTGTTTTGTATTGCTGATCAGTCTTACAGTCTTAAAATAGCTATTTGTGGAGAGAATGTTGTCTTTGGCAAGCTGAAGAAGGCAAAATGTGAGAGTGTGAGCAGAGACTATCGCCCAAGGAATATGCCGAGGGAAATGAAGAGAGATTGGACGTAAACTGAGAACACCGTTAAGTGGCATAATGCGCCAGGCTCTCGGGTGGAGCTCAAATGAGAGTTAAGGACTTGAGCGCCCAAGGGTGACATGACAATTTATACCAAATCGTGAAGATGTGCTTTTGAAGCCATATGTTTCACTCAGAACCCAAGGGAATAATGTTATAATCATATATGTTACAAAAGCTGAGAAAGTATATCCACATTAGAGTGACATATCGAAGTAAGATTGCAAATAATGAGCGCTTTGCACAGTTTATTATCATTCTGTGTTAACTTACCAGTTTCAAGTAAGACAGAATGGATTATGAAGCAGTTTTTGTAACAACATAAATATGTTACTGACGGGATGAATCACTTTTATAATTATGACAAGTAACAGAATTGTTACAAAACACGGAACTACTAATGATATATATATATATATATATATATATATATATATGCATATCTAATGAATAAGGGTGTAGGAATGTACCGGTATATTCCAGAATGACGTAAATCAATCGAATATCAAGCAGACTATCATTCTAAATATACCTGCTACTTTATGCAAGAATAGCACATCTAAATTCGACTTAGCATTACTATTATTGTTATTATCACTACTGTTATTACAGTCACTAGTATTATTATTATTAAAAATGCAGTGATATTTATACAGTTAAGGTAGTGGAAAATTTTATATAGCGCAGCCTCTAAGAATGATATTAAGCAAAAGCAGATATCACCAGTTTCGGTATAAAAAATCGAATTCCTCTTCTCCGATCACAATGAATTATTTGCATGCATGTGTAGTAATATAGTAAGCAAGTTCGATGTGGGGAAAGATTCTAGAAGAAGTGAAGAGAAATTTAGTATATTCTTAGTGAAGTGAGAAAATCAAACACAAATATCCAGCAAAATAAAACCATTGGTTTTAGAAAATGTATGACCGATAGTAACTGTAAGAAAGTTTATGTTATTTTTATTCCTTTACGTTCCCAATAAAACATAGGGGTTCAAGCTAGAGGCTTGAAGTTTCGGTGGCAGTGGTGTTTATTTTTGCTGGGTAGGGTTGCTAGCCTCATGCTTAACCTTCCCTATTTACCGATCTTATTACTGGCTTGGCGAGGTAAAGGAGTGCATTAGCGGCCGTGTATCGGACCCCGGATGACGTGGGTGGTTGGCGAGTAGTGGGATGGGATTTAACAACAGTATCATTCTTTCTTAGCCTAATCATCCTAGTATATGCTTCGAAGCCATCATTTCCTCGTTGAAAAGTCATCTCCTAGCCACACTTGACGGTAGCAGTAATCACAGCTGTGAGAACAGCAGTCAATTTGACTTAAATACATAAAATGAAAAGTGCATGGCACATGAAATAACATTAAGTGTGAAATTTGGTGGAAATCAGTTTGCGTATTATTGGTCACCACCCACCAGATAACGTGTTAATCCTTGGGCACCTTCAAAGCGTCTGTAACAGGAGCCAATATGTCAGCAGTGACTGTAAACTTTGGTCAAGTAAAAGCAATCAACTAGAAATGCAAAATTAACTTAAATAAAATGCGAAAGTAGGCATGGAAGTGCCAGGAAAATGAAATAACCTGTCTTTTTTATAATATGTTTGAGGTTTCTTCAGAGATCTCTTCATGAAAACTCTCTAATACTTTCTCAATAAAAGTGGTTATTTATGCACACCGTTCAATACAGTTTCGTTTCCTTAGAAAAGTTCGTTAATTTCAAAGCAAAGAATTAAAGTTGCGCAAACCATCACATAACTCAAGCGATTCCACCAGGCAACTAATGACAAGTGTTTTAATTAGGCGTTATTTTTATGGATTTATTAAAAAAAATTGCTAATCCATTTCTATTTTAAACATTTAGATACTGTGCCGTGTACGAAATCACCCATACAAACCAAGCTTGTCATTCACATAACTTAATGTGGCAATTTTCATCTCGTGATCGATATCCTCCATATTATTATTACCCAAATCGTTACCGACGAAATTATAACTATAATGGTCAACCGATTACTTTCAGCCGTAACACTTTTATGCATGAAAGACGATACAATTCACTTGGAAGCTTTACTATGAATAAAAATGGAAATAATGATGAATTCAATTCAGAGTCATGGGTAACGCATGCAGCACTGCTTACACCAGGGCAACAAATATGTGTCACCTGTTATCCAACTTATATGCGTGAAGATTTGGGCTATAGATGCACTGGATCAGGTCTGCCAAATGTTGAAACAAGATGGCGTGCACTGCGTACATCGGATTGTCAAGGCAGATTCCGCATGGTCAGTATGCCACAACGATCGTGTACATGTGGTCGAGATGTAGCGTCTTTTGTGTTTGTTTAATGCTAGATGAATTAGTAAGAGTTAGAACGTGTTTATTAAATTATTCTTCCATAAATATATCTCTACTTCGACATGTGACGACTCACATTCAAAAATAATTATTGTTTATGTTTTACTATGGCAAATCATTAATTTGTTTAAAAAGTTATATATGTTTATTATTAACATGATTATTTCCGTGATCTAGGAGTAAGGCATTTATTTCTTGAAGTAATTAACCAATTAACTGACAATAAACAATGATCACTTTTTGATAAAATCAAACCTTTTATCACTCACTATTTATACGTCATTTTTTATTGATGGTAACATTAAGAAATCTTTGATGAATATGATTTTATTCCCTTTGATTCTACAGTTTTAAAAACAAAATGAGTATGTACATACTACTCATATGAGGGAATTCTAGTAATTCATTAATTAAAATGTAAAATTTGCTAATTCTTTTTTCCAAAGTCAAAATATAATTAATTATTAGCCCTATTATACAAAGGATCTCTTCAATTATCAGGGTTAGTTATATTAAATTTCATATATATATATATATATATATATATATATGACATCATTTCTGTCAGGATTAGGCGATTCGGCATTTTTGAGTATTGTATTTTCAAATTCCTAGTACTTATTTCTGATGCTTTTTTATTGTTAATAATGCCTGTTTATTCAATGCCATTAGCATTGTTCGTTTGTTTTGTTGTTATTATTTTTTGTTTTGTTTTTTTGAAAAATGTTTTTCATTTTATTATTCAACATTTCTGTGTGAAAAATTTGTAATAAGATGATAGTTCAAAGCAACACTTATCATTCATTATCCTTTTTAGCTTTATTTTTAATTTTTGTTAGTAAATATTTTATGAATGAAAAGTTCAATATTAATTTATTGTTTGTTATAGTTGATTTTAAAATTTACGCGCACTTTTTAAATTTTCACCTTTGATGTTTATACTGAAATTGGTAAAGGCTTGATAAGATCGAAATTTTGAAGAGAAAATATAAGACAGTTGTCAGGATGGCCAGTTTACCTTCTTATGGCTTGTTTACTTATATATATATATATATATATATATATATATATATTATTTACGGTCTGTTTTCGTCTATATGTCCATATGTCATTATACACTATTCATCTTGTTTACTTATCCTGGTTACATAAACGAACACATGTTTCTTTAAGAAATTGATTTTCTGAATCGTTTAACATGAACTTTTATCGAACCTATTGTTTGTTAATAATTGTCACTTTTCTTATCAGTATTACTTACATAATATACATAAACATTTATATACAAAAATTCTGCTTATAAACTGTTTTACGTATATTCTTACGTAAGTTTTTGTTCTCTGTTAATCATGATCCATTTTCACTTCTAACTTTATTATTCTTGAATGATGAGTTGATTTTCGGTGTTTTATAACCATCAATACTACTAATAATAATATTACTACTAACTATTGATTTTTATTGTTATCTTGCCAAGTTTTGTGTACTACTGATGTACTGCTTTAACTAAAATGAATTTTGATTTATATTACTATTATTATTGCTATTATTGTTATCATTATGAATAATGATAATAAAAGTTAATTAACTAAAGTCAGTGTTTTAATTGATTAAATTACAATCTGAATAAGATCTGTTGTCGATTTAAAGGCATTGAAATGCAGGAATTGGGAAGCCATGAGTTGTAAGCCTGCTGACAACAAGATAATTGCGTCACTTTACCCTAATTCCACTCATGACAATGGAAAATCACTAATAGTAATAAAGCTTTATTTCAGACAATATGCGAACATACAGCACAAACATTTTTAGCGTATTTAGTTCCAAAATACTGTTTCTCTATACAGGATTTACACGTAAAGTAATAATTTGAAGTATATCTTCATTTCGTGGAAGAATTGCACAGCGTTTACTTGAAAGCATGTTAAATCAGCGCTCAACTGATATAAGGGGACGATCAAGACAATGATAAATCCAGATGAAATTAAGCATTTTAGAGGAAAGTAATTTCGGTAGCCTAGTGATTCAAGCAGGCCTCCCAATCATTGTAGGCGACTAAAATCTTAGTGTCTTGATAAATACTCCCAACATCTTATATTAAGACATTTGCCAATCAAAACAAAAAGTCAGCCCAGTATACACCTCTGAAGGATAAGTGTATCTATGGTCAGCCTGCAAAATTTAGGCTACCGATATCCATGCTAAAAATTCCGTATTTGTACCAAAAATACATTGTGGAATCAAGCTGTAATCAAAAATATAAAAAAAATATACAAAATATTGGATCGGGTCCCAGTGGCTTATTTGTATACCAGCTTGCCTTGTAACCAAAAAGTCCTGGGTTCGAATCCCGCTGGGCGCGTACTGATAAAGAGCCCCAAACTGGGATGAAACAGCTGTCCAGTACTCCCTGTAGGTCTTCCACTGGCTTTCTAACCAATGCCAGCTCATGATGAAATTCTGTAACCAATCAACCGAATCCCTACAAACCAATACTTGAATATTTCTATTTGTATTAGATAAATGGAGTCTATTGACAGAAAGCCATCAATCTGTATGCATTTTGTACTAATTAATAGAATTAATTTTGCGCTAACACTAAAGACCAGGGATATGACATTGGTTACCCGTCAGTGATGAACCATAGGATTTCTGTTCGTCATTTAAATATTACTAACGAATTTGGGTAAAAAATGATTGGAGACATCTCTGGTCTCTGAGTTGTTCAAAGGGATTATTTCTACTAGTACCAAGTGCTACAGAATATTTGAACTTAGTAGTTGGATGTTGGCTTTGTTCATAAAGTTTACATTGATGGAATTAGTTATAAAAGTTGCAATATCAAAGGCTAACTGGATGCAGAAATGAGAATAGTTAATACAAATTTATTGCTTACCCCATATAGATACACACTCATCCCCTGAAAAATAACATTATGGCGAACATCTTAAATTATTACAATAAATCTTAAGTATTTAAGACAGAAAAAGAGACGGAGATAACAAATAAGACATTTTAGAACTGCTTCTCACATGAAATTTGAAAAACAAAACTTTTTCTCATTAATACACGTCACCTTATTCACTGTTTAGAGTTTCGGGTGTAACATTTTCAAAGATTGAAACATGTAATGCTTAGTTTATTGCTTACTGGTATTTCAGTCATCCTAAACAGTATGACTTGGAAAATTTCAGCTATGAAATTAAATCTTGAGAGAAAGAGAAGACATTTTAGGATGTTCGGAAAAACAGTCATTGTTTAGTGTACTTAAAAGCAAAAACTCTAACGTTGTTGTTTTCATTTGGTTATTGTATATATGATGTTTCTTAGCACTTAGGATAGATCCTATGTTACTGTACAAAATCCAAGTCGTTTGTTTTACAATCTAGAAGACAGTGGATATGACAGAAGTTGTCAGTTTTTCATTTGAATGTCTGTCAACTGATTAAGCAGATACGCATATTAAATGGTGAAAAACAGTTGCATTAAAGTGTTAACTGACCATATTTATTAATTCAGTTTTAATCATAAGAATGCTCTAAGAAAGTAACAGTTATGTAATATTATTATTATTTCTTCTTCGGATTTCGAGTGGAACACAGGGCTTCAGCAACACAACTCGACTTTCTTCTACTTCCTCATGTCCTCTTCATCTGGTTAACCACACGATAGACTACAGTCTGCCGTCTTCTCTTCCTACTCCTCGCCACACAATCTCCTCCATGTCACACTCCATCTCACACACCACCCACTCGTCACTTCCCGTTCGGATCCCACTCAAACGATGGCATGCATTGCGCGTCATTTCATTCGATGACCTCCTCAATGTCTGCCCGATCCACCCATCTCCATTTTCTCCTCAATACTTACTGAGCAATTGGCTCACGGTTTGTTTGTTCCCAGCAAGAAGTTTTTGCTGCTAATCTTTTCTGACAGGCCGGCTATTCGCTCTTCGGGATGGAGCCAGCCAGCGAAGGCGGCAGCTGTTGATAAAAGTTTACAACAGCCCGTTGGGAATGCTTTTCGTGACGTGCCGTGCAAGTTTCTGACCTGTATAGAAGATCTGACTGACTGATTTCACATTTGTGTGTAAAATACGAGTCTTGTTGTTTATGCTGGCTGGCTAAGTCAATGCAGGAGATTTGATGAAAGCGTATCTTGCCTTTCCGACTCCGGCTGACTTTGGCAACTTCCTCAGTGCCATCCGCCTGTGGTTGAAATCATGCTTCTTAGATAAGTGTAATATGTTATACTAGTGACCATCATCTCTATACTTATTAACAACAGCATGTTAATGTTTTATATTGAAATATTAAAATTGTATAAAATATAAAAAAAACTGACACAGTAAAGGGGTATCATATAATTTTGCTCAGTTTATTGTTGCTTTGTTAAAAAAATTAGGCTTTTAAAAATTAGCACAGTGGCTTTTATATTACTGAAAGCTCACAAGAAATAAATATCTATGCGATGAACAACAATAAAATATAGATTATCTTGAAAATATACAACAGAACATTAGACAACAGGCTAAAGCCAGAGCTTCTTGAGGATTACTACCACTTACTTTTATTATCATATTAAAAATGAGCCAACTATATATTCCTTGACGTAGGTCTTCTTATACTACTGATTGAAAGGCATTTATGAAATTGATGGTGAGGACAATAATGTCGATGGAAGACTTTCATAGGGGAGTGTATTTTGTCTCAGTTACATGCTGTTAACTCCTGTTGAATGAAGCGAAAATCTAGACACACAAAGTCGATCGTGAATTTCAATAAGAAGTATATTCATTCCTCTTCTAATCTGTACTCCCACTTAACTGTAATAATCAATAGCCCTAATTTCAGTGCACAACTAACCAATGTTTACTGGTGTCTTTTTTTCGAAAAATCTCTTCTAAAAGTCATATGACGGAAGAAAATAAAATAGTTTTTCATCATTTTCTGTGATTGTATGAAATCCCAGTCTGTCAAGACTGAATGACTGCATCAAGACGATTTTCCTTTCTTGGAGAAAAAAATCGCACAGTATCTAGATCCAATCATGTTTAAAAGAATTCAGCAGGTCTACACTAGCCTGTGATGCAAATCACCTTCACATATTTAGCTGGTGCTGTTTTTAAAGAAAACAGACATACTAAAATTTGCCTACACAGAGAATAGACGTTTCTGAAATACTGGAGCTTAGTTTTATAGGATTTTTAAGTAGTACTAGAAATTAAGTAAGTCAATTAGATCATTTAAAAATGTTTTAAAGACGTATTTAATTATTATTATTGTACCGTTAATTTTTATTTATAAAAGTGTAGGGAGCGTATCCTGAAGTCTCACTAACGTGGTCTTCAAAACGAAGCTTTCCAACTGATAAATCCATCTGACTTACATTTAGTCACATTTATGGCAACATTTGAGTCCTTTCATTCTATCCGATCTAACTAAATTTTCTATGGATGTGATCAGTTAGATGAACTAAGTGAATCAGTTGCTTTTGTTTCACACACTCAGTTAAGATTCGTTTTCTAAACGCCTGATCCAATTTC